TTAAATATGAGTCATACCTAAGTCCTCCTGATTTGTTTTTGGACCTCAGATGAGAATATATTTCCCTGGTATTAAATATTATAGTTTGTGAACTTACAGCATTATATTTTCTGGTTATTATTTATTTCGGTATCCTCTTTTCTAGTTTTTTTCTTATATGTGTCCTCTTTATTACTCTCCTCCATTATTCCTGCATTCACATTTGGAGAAAATGTCATCTTCCTATCTGGCTCCCAGTCCTGCCATATGTCTTGTTTGTTTTTTTCCTTCTGTTTCTATATCCCTCACTTCTTCATTTTCGGATTTTTTAAGTTTCTATCTTTGTGCTCTTACATCTTCCTTCTTTCTTCTACAACTTACTGCTGTATGCACCTGTTGGTTACTTGTATTTATCCCTTTCCTTTTCCCTTTCTCTTCACCCCTCTCAGGGTCTTCTCAGTCACCTTCCTGTCAGTCCCATTCTTTCTGACTTCTCCTGCTCCTTTCCCCATATCCCTCTCTTTTTGTACACCACTCGTGTCTTAGTGGTGGCCTGCAAGCCAAAACAGGAAGAGCCTTGCAGAGTGGCATGCCCAGCAGCTATTCTAATATAGGAATTCACATTCCCTGCACATCTACGAGACAAATGCCATGGTCCTTGAGCTTCACAGAGGCTCACTGCTGTGCTGCATAAAGAAGTGTCTGCTGTAGGGTGCTACACATCCCACACCTCAAGCAAAATGCAGAGAAAACTCTGTTTCATATGAAACTGATGGGAGAGCTAAGGAAACTCCCCTGAAGTGGGGAATAACAGTTAACTGCTCAAATTAAAAAGAAATACATCAATAAAAATATTCCCTTGCTTGCCTCTTGTAAAATATGCTGTTTTATGCATATGTGGGGCTTCCTGTAAAGCCATTCCATTGCGATCCTCCCAACTACCTACAAGACCTAAGATCTAGGGCAGCAGTAGGTGACATTTCCTAGCAGCCAGCCAGAATGACCTAGCACAAGTTTGAGGTGGGCTGGCACTATGATCTGGCTGCTGCTGCTACTGCCACTTCTCTTCACAGCCCACCAGTGGCATGAGCAAAGCTCTCCAGCTCTGGAGCATTGCTGAAGCCCCCTGGCTGCATGGCTGGATTACCACTAATCAGTGATAGAAATCACTTCTACAGAAAGGGCAATAGGCAACATGGTCAAAACCTGTATGTATGTTTTAGACAGAATACAAGAAATATTGGATCAATCTGTCCTTTAAAACAGGCAAGGGAACGTGTGATGTAACCAACAAGGGTTTCAATAAAGGAGAAGTCAACTTGACTCTTTAGGGTCTCTTATTATTGCCAGTCACTGTGATCAAGTTCATATTCCACAGCATCTGGAAATGGGACTAGGCACCAAACATCACATTAACTGTGTAGGATGCTAAAGATTGGCTGTACATCAAGCCCTGAATTTAAATAACATAAAAAGGGACTAAATACATGCTAACTATGCCTCATATATGTTCTCTGACAAGAGTGCACAGATAGGTTTATGAGCTAAAGTATTGTAACAAGTGATACTCTAGAACTGTGAGGCAGAGGCTATGAAGTATAACTTAAAAGTGTAACAAAACCCATACATTTTACTATTAACCAAATATGATTGCATCATGCAAGTAAGATCTGAGTGTTGATATTGCCAATGTCTGAATATCATGGCCCAACAGCATTCATTTAAAAAGTAACCTGACCATGAACAGATGCTTAAAACATTCACCTGAAAGTGTTTTTCCCCTTGTGTTTTGCTAACAAAAGGTGAATAACTTTTCTTGTTATGTTTCCCTCATCCACAATCAGGCACAATCTTTCCTTTTTTTTCCAAGCGAAGGTTGCAAGAAAAGAGGAAAATCCTTTTATAACTGAAAGCTGTCTGCCCTTGGGTCCTGTTCAAGTGGATCTCAGCAAAGATAGCTTATTAATCAAGACTGACCTGGCGTTCCCAGGCGAGCTTGAGCAATGGTTAGCTTCTCATGTGGAGCTTGGCACTGACAGCTTGTTTCATCTGCAAATGGAGCAGGTGCAGTCAGAGTCTGGAGGGAGAAGCAGAGAGGGGGGGGAAAACAATGGAAATGGGATGAGCAAATATCCAGTTTGTTCTTTTAGTGGAAAGTCAAAACAGAATCCTTCCTTCTATGTCAGCGCACTCTCATTGCACATCATCCGGGCTTGTTTTCCCTTCTGGGTGTTTTTAAGTCATTCATAAACTCACAGAATTGATACAGATCTGTAATTAGAGTTGAAAAGAGTAAGATGTTTTAAAAGACAGTCATGCAAGCTAATTCTTCATCTTGTTAAAAAGCTTTAAAGTTTTGGAGGTGGCTACAGGCAAATCAGCAATGTATGTGAAGGCTGAATCCACCTCTGTCTGGTTACATGCCCAGAGTTTAAGCAGCTTAGTTCTTGGACTGGCTTTCTTTTTCACTGGGCAGTACACTAGGAATTCCAGAATCTGTAGCCTGACTGCATCCCGCCTGCACTTCTCAGACAAAACATCTGATTTTTGTTTTGATCTAGTGGGAACATGTGAAATAGGGTCCCCTCCACACATTACATGTATTATGGCATTAACTGGTTATTATGCAATTAACCAATTTAGATAGGCTACATGTGTAAATTAACTATCATGCCATAAATAGGTCCATCCAGATATAAAGTTAGAACTGGAAAATGTATAATAATTTTATAGCTGGTTTCTATCTAGCTTTAATTTGCATGTGTAGCAATGTATGGTCCCATGGCTGGGAGCCCTGTCAGGTGGGGGACTCACAACAGTGGGAGCTTGCTATTTGCTGGTGCAGGGGGAGCCCGGGATGGTGATAGATTGTGATTACATCTGATGCCGGACCCCACAATCATGCATCTTGCCATGCACATTTGGCATGGCAGGAGGTGTGATTGTGTGGATCGCACTTCAGATCCTATCATGCCTTCATTCAACATCTAGAGGGGTTCTAGGAGAATTCAACTTAGATTACTTCAAATAACCATGAAGAAAACACTAAAATGACCTATATTAGAGATAACTGAAAAATGGAATAGACACAAGTATTTCAGAAGACCATGGCTTGACCACCGCCTGACCTGCTTTTGAGTGTGGTATACTGGGCACATATACACGAGACGCTTTACTGTGCAGTAGACTAATTTGATGCACAGTAAAGCACCACTGCCTACATGTGTGCAGCATTTACTGCACAGTAAATTAGTCTACTGCATGGTTATCTACTACCTGTAAATACAGGTAGATTTATTGCACAGTAGCTACTGTGCAGTAGTGCACATGTAGACAGCTGACCAGAAGCAAATTGCTCCCAGTCAGCCTACGCAGCAGGGTTGGGAGAACAGTTCCTTCCCCCAGGGAGATGCCTGCTTCCCAGCCCCCACTCTGAGATCTTGGAGTGGGAGTCTGGCAGCAAGCAGCTGCCTGGAGCAGGGGTGCCAGGCTGGGAGGCAGCTGGTTGGGAGGCAGGACAGCTCCTCCACCCCGCTGGAGCCCAGGCCTGACCTCAGTAGCCCCTGCCAGCTGGGGGCTAGTGCCCAGGAGAGCCTAGAGCTCCCCCTGGCTGCTGTAGGGGAGCAGAGCAGGGCTGGAGTAGCCCTGCACTGAAGTGCTCCCATCAGGAACAAATTTGCTCCCAACAGGGACATGTGTAGATGTGCTCTCAGGGAAAGCTTACTATGCAGTATTTTACTGTGCAGTAAGATTTCAGAGCATTAACAGCACATGTAGATGGTCCCACTGAATACCAGTTTTATGCCCAGGCAATAATTAGAAACATATAACCTGTGCTAATTTTTTCATCAGAAAAGAGGCCTTAATGGTTTTTTAAAAGGCATGCTAAATAAGGGCTGGGATGAGTTAGGAGAGTCCAGTGAAAGTATGGCCAATTCAGAAGGTTTCCTTCCACTACTACTACTTGTATTTAGTAGTTCTTAAAAGTTCCAGCTGAGATCAGAGAGAGACTGTTATGTGCCCCAGAGGTGTAACTAGGAAATTTGGCACCATTGGTTGGGGAAAAGGATACTGAGCACTGGAGACTCCTACCTTGTTGCATTGGGCTGCTGCCACTGCTGTTCCAACTGCAGTGTGAGCTCTCCTCACATGGGCTTACTGCTGTGGCACAGACACCTCAGGGGCTGCCCTTCTGCTCTCCCCTCTAAAATGGCACCCAGGACTGGTGCCACTTTTGCCCCTCACACCCTACAGTTATGCTACAGAGGTGCTGTAGAGGATAACTCCTGTCCTGAACAGTTTACACTCTTAGGGCATCTTTACACATGCTTAGGGGTGGGGGGGTTGGGGGGAGAGGTGCTTTAATTAGAGCAGCTCTCGGGAGCTGCTTTAATTAAAGGTCCCACAGTGCCTCATATATTTAGTGTCCTGTGCTTCGAAATGGCAGCAGGGGCACTTGAAGTAAAGTTCGTTCAACTATAAGGTGCCCTTATAGTCCAATAAAGATAAAGGATGAGGGAAATGAGGTGAATAACTATTCGAGCCTAGGTCACCCACCCAACAATCAGAACCACTAATATAGCATCATGCACCTTGTGACTTGTTTTGGAAAATTCTGCAGTGTTTCCCTGATAGCCTGACATCTCCAGGGCTTCAAAGGATAAACAAATTAATAATAATTTTTCTTTGAGAAAAACACATATATCTCTGATTGGCTTTTGCTATAAATTACATGGGATTTCATGACCTTGCATCAACTCTGTACTGCTCTTTGGCAGGAACTTTGTGAATCCTATTAAGGATTCACTGCTCTTTGTGTTGCTGTACTGCTCTTTGTGTTGTCCTATATGTCATCTGAGTTCGTGCCGGCCAGAGCAAAATATTCCTTGCTCTTTATGAACAGGTGTTATGCATTTAGGTGTTTGCTTTTTTGTTCAGTGGTCATATCTTTTCTGATTGTTGCTATATCATTTGAACCTAGATCCCCAATGGTAGTTGGGCACCTAATTTGCATTGGTTTCTGGTGCTATAGGCTGGTTTAAATGAGGGAGCTAGGGCCAAGTAAGCTAGCATACATATTTACAGTTTATTAGGTACTCTGAAGATACACCAGTGTAGATACACTGGTGCAAGAGTACCTTTGCATGCTGAGGTCCAATATGCATTGGAAGTCTGGACAAAACATTTTTACATGTGGAGTTAATGTGAAGTAACTCCTGGATGTAAACTCATATCTTGGGTTACACTGCACTAACTTTCCATTGGAGACAAACCTTCAGTGTCTCCTTTTAGCAAATCTCTTACTTCTACCTAAAATTGGTAGTACAGTCTCAGTTTGATGTCTGCTTCTTGCTTGCTCTTGCAAACTACTTCCTTCTAATGACAATTCATCATAATTGAGAGACTCTTCTTTTACTTAAACATGGAGCCTTTTGTTTCTCAAACTGAGAGAATAGTTTCCACCGAGACAGTGAAAGTCTAAAGTAAATGTTGGGATTAGTTTTTAGCTTATCCTGATTTAAATTCACTATTGATATTTCTTTCAAAAAGCTGTCATCCATTACATACATATCCTTTTAAAAAAATCTCTGACATGGTATTGTAACATATTTGTGGCCGTATCACTTCACACTGCTAAATACAAGTTCAATACAATGACACTATTCAAAATAAACAGAATATGGCAAAATTAAACTTCTGTTCAGGATCCACAGAAGGGAATCCTGCTCAAGCTGGCCACCCACATAGCACAGTGCACAATATTACACACGATCATACATCATGGGCTTTTTTCTTTATTTTCTAAATACCATCTTTCTGCCTCTGTCTTTATGATTGTTGAGTGCTAAACTGTCTTTTTATCTCCAAGCAAGATCAAGTTAGACAACTTCCCATACAGCCTGGCTCATGCTGGGATAAAGGAGAAGGCAAGGATGTTAAAACAATAATGGCTATGGTCTGAGGCCTACAACGGGTAATCAGATCCTAGCTAGGTGGAAGCTGTTTCCTGGGAGATTATTTGAAGAAAATAGGCCTCACTTGCAGCAAGAGACTTCCCGCCCCACCCCTCATTTAAACTCTTCTGCAATATTGAAAAGCTCTTGGTTCTTGCTGAAGTCAAGACAAGCTTGTGTTAACTTCTTATCAGTCCGGTTCTTGTAATCACTCAGCAGCAGGGACCCTAATTTTCTCTTTGCCACAGAAAAAACTGTGGAATCCACATTTTTCCATGACCTACAGAAAGCACAACAGTGTCCCATGGTGAGCGGTGCTATTTCTGTTCTATTTTTCCCACGGTTTGGCCTCTTGGCCAATCAGCAGTAGGGTTAGGAGAAGGAGGGTGGGGAACAGTGCTGATCGGCTCAGAGGCAAAAACTGCAGGAAAAAAGAAAGAGAGCAGAAATGGTGCCACTTGGTGTGGTACACCACCACACTTTCCATAGGTCATGGAAAAATACAGATTTTTGTGTTTTCCAAACAGAGGTCTTTTGCTTTTTTCCCCACAGAAAATTAGGATCCCTGCTCATCAGTAATGCCTACTTTACAACAAATGGCTTAGGAAAAGATGTTGGCAATGCTTTTCTTATTACATGAACTCTAGCAACTAGGAACAATAGATGAAAATCAAGAATATCCTGTCAAAGAGGAACATACATTATAGGTATATGTGTGTGTAACCGTGTGTGCATGTATGGGTGTGTACACATCATATATATATATATATATATATATATATGATGTAGTGTGTTTAGAAACCAGCATAATACAACGATGATTATCTGTCAGTAGCTATGAATGTGAAATTGGATCTAGTTTAGGAAAAACTGGGGGCATCTACAAATGTGCTTTGCTGTGGAGTTGACTAATTAGCTCAGGGGTGGGCAGTAATTTCAGGTGAAGGGTCACTTACTGAGTTTTGGTAAGCTGTTGAGGGCCACAAGGGTAGCCCCACCCCTTGACAGGTGTCCCACCCCCGGTCACCATTTTGGGACCAGAGCTCCCGGCCCCTAACCCTTTACCTTTGGTCCTCCCCTGGTCCTTGCCCACGGTCCTTCCCTGCCTCTACCCCATTCTTAT